AGGGAAAGCTGTGCGCAAACAGAAACACACACACACACAAACACACACACACACACACGCACACATACAGTCTATGATCAGTGTTGGGAGTAACGCATTACAAAAGTAATAATATTACAGTAGTATATTACTTTTTGCTGTAATGCCTGCTCCAATAAGATGAGCCAACACTTGAAAACTAATTTCAGTGCTGGCAGCTTTTTTCTCTGTCTCTTCTCCAATCAGGAATGAGTCAAAATGATTTTCTGTGGTAATCAACAGAATGCAGCATGATGACAGTGGATCTTAAGTTGTATTTAACTTGGAGTATTTCTTGTTAGGATCCTTTCTACAGATCCCTATGGTATCTCCATATGTAACTCAGTCTGGGCTGCTCAGGCTTTGATTTGGAAGGGCTGGTGTATTTGTCATTGCAGATCTCTATGGGCCAGATGCTACAAGAGTTTGGGAAGTTTCTTGGCTTATTCCTGCTCGTACTCATCTCTTTCACCATTGGCCTGACACAACTGTATGGAAAAGACAAGGACCTCTCCAGTTCCGAAAATATAGCCAAGAACTGCACGGGCATCTTCTGTCAAGAGCAGAGCAACGACACCTTTCACACGTACTTTGTATTTCATCTCATTTACACTAATCAGAGAATATAAGTCAGGTTGTTGTTTTTTTACTCTAAGACTCATGTTGTCTTCCTAAAAGGTGCAAAAATAAAAGTTAAAGGGGTCATATCATGCATTCTTCTTTCAAAATTAGTTTTGGCATCTTAGTTTCAATAAATGCTCTTCTTGGATTAGGGAGGAAGTTTTGAGTTCTGAGTTCTTCCTCATGATATGACTCATTCCAAAAGTATTTGACAGACAAAGCAGTTTTTAGGTTTCTGTGACACAGGCCCTGTCCTAAATGGCTCACTTCATGTGCACTTGCGGTCTTGCGGACTTGCAATGGCCACACCATGCGCGTGTCCATAAAGTCAATGAGACCGTAGGGTGTCCCATTTGTCATTTTAGCTTTCAGAAGGGTGCTCGCGAGTGCCCCCTTTGCGACTGCTGCGCGTCCTGGATGTGCACTTCTGCCGAGCCCGCATCGAGGTGAGCTCCGCAGCAGACTTCTACCCGGCAGTCAAAGCAGCATTTCGTCATGAAAGTGTGGACTCAGAGGAAGACCGTGATGGTTTACGGTGCGATTTGGGACAGGGCCATAAATCATTGTTCTAAAGATGCAAGGTTCCATGTTGACCATGAAAAAAATATGAGAGGTCTGTTTTAATAAAATATTTTCCCTTAATCATTTATCTTCAACTTTCTCCAGGTTTATGGGGACATGTTTCGCCCTCTTCTGGTACATTTTTTCCCTGGCACATGTGACTCTGTTTGTTACAAGGATCAGCTACACAGAGGAGCTGCGGTCGTTTGTTGGTGCTCTTATCGTCGGTACCTACAACATTGTTGTGGTCATTGTTCTCACTAAACTCCTGGTGGCCATGCTGCATAAGAGCTTCAGACAGATTGCTGTGAGTGACCCTTGAGATGATTTGATTCCAAAAACTATTGGTGCTTTCTCAACATGATACATGATGATACCATAATTGTGTGTTTCTGACAAGTAGAATTAATAAACTAAAGTTCTACATATTCATTTACCAGTGTTAACATCACATAAACACTATGGGTTCTCCAAACCTGATGGGGGCAGCAGAGAGGTTAATGTGGTCTAATTGGTTGTTTTGAGGAGGTCTATCCATTAGCATTCCCGTTTATCTCAACAACCTTTGATCAGCTGGCACACTGGAAGCCATCTTCGCTTATGGACACTCAGTTCTGGACAAAAGCACTTGAGCCATCAAATGCCATGTGACCAGTCACTCACGACTGAGATAAATGGATATACTAATGGATAGCAATCTTCAGATATATTACTCTTTATATCAAGAAGACATGTATAAGTACATATACATGTAGTTACTTGTACATGTGGAAACATGTATCAGGCAGCTAGCAACAGGTAGCAAAGGCATCATTGTTGTACCTTGATGATTTCATTTGATTCTAGAACCATGAAGATAAGGAGTGGAAGTTTGCCCGGGCCAAGCTGTGGCTCAGCTACTTTGATGATAAGTGCACACTGCCTCCACCTTTCAACATCCTCCCCTCACCCAAGACCGTGTGCTACCTGGTCATCAGCCTGAGCAAATGGATCTGTTCACACACTTCCACAGGCAAGGTCAAGAGACAGAATAGCCTCAAGGTATGTAAGATGTATTTGAACTTAGATCTGGGAAAATCTACCTAATGCACTGTATATCCATAGTTTGCATTTAGTGGTATATGGATAATTGATCTATTTGACAATCAAGTACAAACTCTTGCTCCTAAAGACATCCTATCCTTCAGCATGGTGCCAGAGCAGGTGCATTACTAGGGTTTTTTTTGTTGTCTACGAGAGCGAGAGGATGAAACTGCTCTGGAGAAACAAAGAGTGTCCATACATTTGTCTGTCCATGTGCAAAATAAAGACAGTACATTTTGCATGTTCAGTTTCAATCTATCTTGAGCAGGAACAACACCGAGCACAGAGTTTATGACAGGGGTGTCCAATCCTGTTCCAGGAGGGACACCTTCTTGCAGAGTTTAGCTCCAATCCCAATTAAACACACCTGAATCATCTAGTCAAGATCTTCAGGATTACTAGAAACCTACAGGTAGATGTGTTGGAGTTAAACTCTGCAGGAAATTGGCCCTCTCGGAGCAGGATGGGACACCCCTAGTTTGGTTTATGACAGGGGTGTCCAAACTCAGTCCTGGAGGGCCACTGTCCTGCAGAGTTTAGCTCCAACTTGCCTCAGCACACCTGCCAGGAAGTTTTTTAGTATTCCTGGTTAGACCTTCATTAGCTGGTTCAGTTGTGTTTAATTGGGGTTGGAGCTGAACTCTGCAGGACAATGGCTCTCCAGGAACAGGATTGGACACCCCTGGTTTATGAGTACTGTCGCTACGCAAGATTCACTCTCAGTACTATGAACAACATAACACAGAACTGCATACACCAGGGTAGCCAATCCTGCTCCCGGAAGGCTTTAACTTCAACTGTAATTTAAAAACAACTGAACCAGGTAGTCAAGGTCTTGAGGAGTGCTCAAAACTTCCATGCAGGTGGAGCTAAACTCTGCAGGAAGTTGGCCCTCAAGGAGCAGGACTAGTGGTTATTTTTGGGCTGTTTGCATAGTAGCATAATCAACGCGTAGCAACATAACTTGCTATGTTACGGTTCATTTTTCAATTCTGTGGAAAAAATGGGGCCACTTTGCAATAGGTTTTCCTGAGCATTGGCCGAGAACTGCGTCCGGTACCACATTACCATTTTGGTGGGAAAAAACGTTAACTTCAGCACTGTTAGTGAAAGAGAGGTGAGCTCTAGACATATTATGCCTTACAGTCAACTTGCCAGTGACCCTCTAACTCTTTGCTTCCAGGAATGGAGGAACCTAAAGCAGAAAAGAGATGAGAACTACCAGAAGATTATGTGCTGTCTTGTTCACCGTTACCTGACCTCCACAAGGCAGAAGATGCAGAGCACGGACCAGGCCACGGTAGAGAACCTCAATGATCTGCGGCAAGACCTCTCCAAGTTCCGCAATGAAATGAGGGACATTTTGGGCTTCCGCACTTCTAAATATGCCATGTTTTACCCCAGAAGCTAAGCCATGTGCATTTAGTAAAAGTGACCCAGCATGCTCAGCAACGCTCTTCTTTTTCTTTGGAAGACGAAAAAGTCCTGGGACTCTACTGGAATAGTAATTATTAAAGGGGTCATATGATGCGATTTCATTTTTTCCTTTCTCTTTAGAGTGTTACAAGCTCTTGGTGCATAAAGAAGATCTATAAAGTTGCAAAGACTAAAGTCTCAAATCCAAAGAGATATTCTTTATAAAAGTTAAGAGTTAGCCACACCTACCTAAAACGGCTCGTTCGAACACGCCCCCACATACCTACGTCACTATGTGGGAAGATTTGCATAACGCCGCCCAAATGTTCACGCAAAGAAAGAAGGCGTAACTTTTATTCTCACTGTAGTATTGTTGCCGCTGCCGCCATGTCCTGAAGACGCTGTGTGCTTCGTTGTGAAAGCGAAGCTACATTGTTTGGTCTTCAAAAAGAGAACGATGTCCACTTCGTCATGCCTAGAGCTGATCCGTGCTGGTCGCTGAGGAAATACATCAACTTAGTGCTGTGGATCACTTTATTCTACACCAAAGCCTGCAGAACCATAACTTATGTAATATTCTTGCATCCTACTTGCTTTCTAAAAGTGTCATCCTTTTCAAATAAATAACATTTATGACTAAATGTTTTATATTGAACTTGCATAAGTTCTTAGTAACGTGCAGTATTTGAATATGTATTTTAAGACTAATTCGCATTTAATGTATTGTAAAGCAACAGTCTTCAACCCTGCTCCTGAAGACCAACTGTCCTGCAACGTTTTTTACTAATCTGTTTGTAATTTTGATCATGTCAAGTGATCATGAAGACTTCGATCGACTGGTTTATGTGTGTTTGATTAGGATTGGACCTAAACTCTGCAGGACAGACCCACTGAAACCAGGAGCAGGGTTGAAGAATATCTCATAGGATTTTTTGTGGTTTTTTGATGCTGAAAAGAAACACTTAAAACTTAAACCTGAAAATGATTGTAGAATATGGACCTTTTACGAGTTTACTAAGGAGTTAAATGTTAATAGTGCCCTTCACAGTCAAGCACTCTGAGCCCTAGGCAATTTTAGAAACAGATGTCCTGACATGATCATGTGAACTACCTGAATATTTTGAACTCCAAAGACTTCCTTTAAATCTTCATTGAAATCAGCTGAAATTTGATTCTGGAAAAAAAAAAATGCAATACATTTACAAAAATACAAATACCAGATAAAACATGAAGACTTAACTGATAATGAACTTTTATTTTTCTTTCATAAAACAAATAATTTATAACTTAACACTCACCACTAGTAATCCATTTCTATGAAAATATTTTATAGACAAAATGTAACATATCCAGTATGATTTCAAAGGTGTGCTACTAGTTTATTGCCTTTTAGACATCAGCAACAAAGCTTCTCTAACTTTTCTAATTGATCATAAATCTAGAAATATCTTGTAAATGGTGCCAAAACACTATCATCTTGATCTTTACATTCTAGCTTTCTTCGCCTGTCATGTCTTACTACCTTTGCTCTTGCTGCCATTTTGATGCTCATCACAACAGTCAGAAGAGAAGTAGGAACCAAGAGAGCCCAACCAGGCGTGTGCCATGTGCTTCAACAGTCCTCGGCCTCCTTTGGAGAGGGCGATGAAGGAAGTTGGGACATGCAGGGCAAATATGAAGACATCACACATCCATGTGTGGATTTTGAGACCAAAGATTGTCTGTAAGAACTCAGCAGCGTTTGTTCTTCAGCATGTTGAAGACCCTCTGGTTCTTGGCCTTGAAAGCCATTATGAAATGATGGGGGGCGATCATTCCACGTCCCTCTTCATCTGCCTGGCCCATGAAGATGTAGTTCAAACCTAGTGACACCACACAGAAAAAACCTGAATGCAGTGACGGAACGGCAGAGACATTCAGGAAGGGCTTTGAATCAGCTTTTCTCTGGGGCCTCAGTCGCACTATGCACTCCATATGTTTATATACCATATAAACATATGACAGTGAGATTTTGTCATAAAAACACACTTTGACAGTGGGTCTGGCTGCTAACTTCACTGTTACCAAGCAAAATTTAATGGGCTGCTTAATGCACCACTAACCTAATGGAACAAATTTAATGGAACTGTTGACCCAAAAATGAACATTTTGCCATTATTTACTCACTCTCATGTTGTTCCAAACTTACATGCTATTATTTTTACTTGGAACAAAAAGTGAAAATTTGCTATAATAGATGGAGCACAACTGATTACCAAAATGCATTGTGTTTCTTATTGTGTACAACTTTTTAACTCTTTCTTTC